TCCTTCCTTGAGCCAGAAACGAAATCATACAATTCATAGCAAGGATCTTATGGACTCCAGGCACTATAACCACTTCAATCTGTTAAAGTCTTTATGGTGCCTTCAGTGTTCCTCGAATCTTTAGCAGTTATGTCTTAAATTGGGGAATACAATTATCCTTGTTTTCCATTGAAAAAAATGATAAAGTGCTGGAAACAAAAGATGGCCTCTCTGTCTAAAATGGGCAAACATGATGCAACAGAAAGCAAAGAATAAAACAATTACAGGTTTAATGAGTTTTAACACGTCTCATGAAAGCTTAATTGACTTGTTAATAAACACCCCTCTCATTGAAGTGATCTGGGTGTAGTGTCCCCATCCCCGGAAATCTGCAATGCAAAACATTAAATGGTTAAGACTGCCTCTAGTGGCCACTAGAAGCACTTCCTGGCGTTTCGCAAAGTTTAACTCTGGGAAATGATACATGACTTCTTCATGCTTTACATGTGGAAGTCCAGTGTGTTGAAACTTCCCACAGGAAAACAATGAGTCAGTGCTTTCCTAAGGGGAGGCCTAGTACATGCACAGTGCTCACTGCCCATGCACATTAGGTACCTCCTAATTACCAACATTGGAGGAGAAAGAGCATGATCCAGAGCCGAGGGATCTCTTGGTGGTGGGGGAGTGAGGGTTTGGACAGTCATTTTAGTTCATAGGAATACTAAAGGGTTGGGCATACACTTTTCTTTTCCGAACGCTATTGTTTTTTATTAACAATATATTTTATTAAGTAAAGGTTTCAATTCAAGACTTTTTATACCAATGAGTTTTACTCATGTGCTGTCCCTAAACCTATAAATCACAGGTTGCATTTTGCAACAAATTTTTACTTATAATCATGATCTTTTTCTGGATGAAGATTCTAAATTATACCGTCCCCACTTTATCTCTTCTGTATATTTGTTGGGGATGCAAGCTGGTGTCTCTTAACCACTCCAGTTGGTCAGCATGGCAGTGATATACGATTCAATCTTGGCAAGAACTCTGCATTTTCTAGAAGAGGGTATCAGAAACAGCCTGGGAATTATGAGGGGTGCGATGTACTGCGCCTGAACCCGAGCTATCTTACAGGGAAGGAGGCCTGATGGCCATGCTGTGTGAATGAAATGAGACCGCTCTGAAATCATAAAAAGGCAGTCTGAGAAAATAAAGTGTGCTTGGTCACTGTGAAATATGCATTTGTGTGTATCTATTGGTATGTAAATGTAGAGACATGAATTATCGCTACATGGTTTAATAACTTTCCAAACCTCTGCACAGTTTATTAAGAGGAGCAGACATGTTATACATCATTGCTCTTCCTGACGTGGGAGTCTCCTTAGAGACTCACAGCAATGTTTGTTAAAGTCTGAGGCACCCGTGTTCACAACCTCTTTTTGAATTTAATAGCCCATATGTCCTTCCATTTTGCATTACAGGATATATGGCTGGTCTGACTTGTTAGGGAAAAAAAATAATCACAATAAAAATTACAATAAACACGAATAATTTGCGTAAAACAGTTTCTCAGTAACGAGTGTGCACATGCATAATTCATTTTGTTGAGGTCATTAGCAAAAATGATTTTGTGCTTTGCATATTGAAGTACGGGAAAATACTACAGAGTCTAGTGTTGCAGATTACTCAATATTTTCTTTTGTGGGCAAAATACTCTAATGGCAAACAGTATTGGATGGTTAAAGCACTAGCAACTTTCCTGCCTTTGCATTTGGAAACCCATAGATTAAATGCTTGTCTGAGCATTTCATTCATCGTCACCTCTAAAATCTCCTGTTTATAATAATAATAATTATTATTATTAACATATATATAGCGCCAACAAATTCCGTTGCGCTTAATTAGAAAGTGCTGTAGAATATGTTGTTGATATATAAATAATAATAACAATTATGCCAACCCTAGAATGAATAGGCAATACAAATCTCTGAAAAAGTACTGATTTTGTAACTACTGAAACTCAAACAAACATGCCATTTTCACAATTTCTTCTTTAAAGGTATACCGTCCATAGGCATCAAAACAGCTTTTTCTTAATGAAGCAGTTTTGGTGTATAGATCATGTCCCTGCAGTCTCACTGCTCAATTCAATGCCATTTAGGAGTTAAATCACTTTTGTTTCTGTTTATGCAGTCCTAGCCGCACCTTCCTTGGCTATAACTCACACAGCCTGCATTTCAAATCAGGTGTTAACTCGCTCTAGAAGTTTTTATTTCCTGCTCTATAAATTGGACTTAAATTGCACACAGGATAATCCTGCAGTGTCTAGAAGGCTATTAACAGAGCCGGATATAAGACATTTTACATTATACAGAATGTGCAATAAAGGAAGTTTAAACATTAGATCTCTCGATACAAGAAGTGATTAAGGAGGCAGTGCAAGTCACATGCAGGAAGGTGTGGCAGAGAATTGAGCAGTGAAACTGCAGAGGCATGATCTATACACCAAAACTGCTTCATTAAGCTAAAGTTGTTTTGGTGCCTATAGTGTCCCTTTAACCCCTTAACGCAGTTAAGGCATTCTATGCCGTCCCCATTATAATGGGCTTTAAAGCGTTGCGGCGGCATTGAACGCTGTAACGGCTTAAGCCCCCAGGAGCCAGGAGAAACTTACCTTAGCCGCAATCCTCTTCAGGAGGACTGCCTGACAGCCCAGGCAGCCCTCCACCGGCAAACCAGGCCCGGGGGCCATGTGATCGCTCTCAAAGAGCGCTCACATGGCCCTCTATAGCTGGTTGTAGATCTTCCAGCAGGGGGATCTTCCAGACAGTCCCTGCTGGTGAGTAGTGTAAAATTATTATTAAACATGTAAAATAAACTTAATATGTGTGTGTATATGTGTATATATATATATATTTTATATATATATATATATATTAAATATATATATATATATATATACTAAATATATATAATATATATATATATACACACACACACATTAAATTTATTTTACATATACTCACATAACCGAAAGGTACATGACAAACCTGACCCAAAACCTAGTAAGAGGATACTACACCAGATTAACGACAAAAGGGCAAAACAACAGGGTATCCTACCCCCCTCCCCTCTTCTTTCTGTACCCCACCCCAATCAGTAGACTACTGAACTACCATTCAGAACAAAAGGAAGCACTGGGTAAATAAACAAATAACGCAAACACCTAGAAAGAATGATGTAACCAAAGGAATTGAAAATGGTTCGACAAGAAAAGCAAATACAAATGTAATATGAACCAAATTGTAACTGTGTACTTCCTATTTCTCTTCTGTATCCCTACCCCCTGAAAATCAAATCTTTACAAATAAAGAATTTATAAAAAAAAAGAAAAAATTTATTTTACATATTTTACATCTTATATATATATATTTTATATTTATATATATATATATATGTATAATTACAATAATAAATAAATAAAATAATTAAATAAAATATATTTTTTTAAAATTAAAATAAATTATATATACATATGTACATATATATATATATATATATATATATATATATATATATACATATGTAATTTTATTCTAACTGTATTTTGTTATTAATATATATATATATATATTGGTAACAAAATACATAAATGACATTCTATATATATCTATCTATATATAAAATACAAATTACTGCAAAAATATATA